ATTATCACACCCTTGTTATAATCACATATTTTTATGGTCCCAAGAGTGTGATTATAGCCAGGGTTGACTGTATAATATTATATTTCTTTAAATACTATGTCATATTTCTAATATTTGATTAATATTAGTGTAATATGATTTACAGAATTACAACTTCAGAAATAAATAGGATTTACTATAAGTTAAATACAAAAGGTTTAAATAATTATTCAAATTTGTTAGCAGTAGGATTTGAATTTCAAACTTCTTGTATAATAGTCTAATAATCTAACTACTATACTAAGATTACTAAATCTAATATCTAATTAATATTAGTATAACATAATTTATAAAATTATAATTCTTAAAAATAAACTGAGTTTACTATAAATTAGATACAAAATCTAAGTAATTATTCAAATTTATTAATAATAGAATTTGAATTTCAGACCTCTTATATAGTAGTTTAATAATTTAACTACTATACTAAGATTACTAAATCTTAATTAATTAAAATTAAAAATTAATATTATTTTATTTTATAATATTTTTTTATAGTTTTTTATAAAACTAATTGATTAATTAATTTTTTTTTGTTATTAAAAGTAGCTTACATTACTGAAAGAATTTTATTAGTATTGCAAACAGAATTATATATTGATAATTTTTACTATATGAAAAGTATACAATAAGCTATATATACAACTTTAGTTATTATCTATTTTAAGTAGTCTACTATATAGATATTAGACTACATGATTAGTTTTATATTATGCTATTATATTTATAATCTGCTTATGAATTACTTATTTAAACACTCTGTTTATTAACTTATACAGATCTAATCTAATATTACTATAATACTTAACTACTTAAGCTAGCTAGCTTATTATAGATCTATTTATTCAGAATAGCTTAAATCCTCTCAGAATATATTATATCTAATATATTATTAGTGTTGCAGAGTTAGTTAACTTTGAAACAAATCTATTAGAGTAGTCTATACTTATTTTATTGATTTATCTAGTTTAGACCCTTGTAAATATTCATACAATCTCAGATTCTACTATAATCCTCTACTTGTTTGTTAATCTAATTTTTTTTCTATTATTTAACTAGTTTTAATTACTTTTCAACTAAAGTTCTCAAAACTTTCTATTTTTATTAGACTAAATTTTCTTTTCAAATTAGACTTTAACTGATGTAGTTTTGTCAAAAAGCTATATTACTTTACTAATTCAAGATTTTTACTATGCAGATCCTCTGTTTATATATTCTATTAAAATTTATTTATGTAATATTATATTATATTTCTAAGTTCTGATTAATTTAGTATAACTTAATTTACAGAAATATGCTTTTAGAAATAAACAAAATTTATTGTAATATATCACAAGATCTAAAAAATTATTCAAATTTATTAATAGTAGAATTTGAACTTTAGATCTATTATATAACAATCTGATAATCTAACTACTATACTAAGTTACTAGATCTTTAATTAATTAATTGATAATATCTAATATTTATAATTTGATTATATAAAATTCAAAACTTTTAATCAAAAAAATAATAAATTTTTATTAATAATTTTAGTTTAAAATATCAAAAATTTAATATAATATCTTTGTATTATATACTAGTATTATCAGAATCACTTTTAATAAAAGTTGATAAAACACTTGATCTTACTTGATCTCAAATATTTATACAAAAATTATGTTTCTAAAAACAATCTAACAAAATTTTAAATGATTTTAATTATAAAAAAATTTGATTTGTTTAATTTGAATTAAATTTTTTATTGTAAAACATACAATTAATTTGTGTAACAAGGCTTTTTAATAGAAAATAAACAACCAATAAAAACCAATTTCTATTATACTAGCTTCGTTTTAATTATAAACGATATGATTTAATTGGTTGATTTTCACGAGTAGATCTACAAAAATCAACCAATTAGATGAATGTTTCTACTATGAACTCAACACGCATTGTCTAACCAGATTGTCGATTTTATTACATAAGGAATACGAAGGATAACTAATAACAATAAAATTTATACGTATAAAAAAGACATCAAATTTTACTTAGCAGGCTATAATGACAATATAAATATGATATCATTACTAATACGTACTAATCAGGATAGGCTATAAAAACAATACATCATCATAAAATGGTGTTGGTATATATCGATATACGATAAAAATATTTCCCTTAGATAACGACATAAACATATCGATACGTTAACTCATGCATTTATAGAATGTGCGTATTAAAGGAGATCTCAATATATACCGATACGAAAAATAATGCAAGTACCGGTATTCTAATTTGAAAAAACAAAAGTATTGACTTTCTAATAATATGCGTTATCCTTACTTCTTAACAAGTTAAATCAAGTTTAAACGGGATAAATTAATTTAAACTGTAATTGGTTGGTTCAAAATTAAGAGAATTCCCTTGTTCAAAAACAAAAAAAAAAAAAAAAAAAAATACAATCCAAGTGGTTTAAAGTAAACATGTTAAAAATTTAGCTAATAAAATGTTTAGGCAGGATTAGGCAGGATATACAGTTTAACTTAGTTTAACTGATAAGCAAACATGTTCAGATCAAATTAGAACAGGAAAGTTGGAACAACGTCCTCCTAAGATCAACTCGTGCTATTGTACGTATTCATCTTTTGTGATACAATGTATTGAATATACGTACAGCCGCCACAGAAAAGTATGTAATAAGACTGGGCGTTTGCGGCGAAATATATATATAAACAGAATACGTCACATGTCAATCGACAATTTATAGGGCAGTCTCTGCGAGTCTGACCATCTTTTGCTTTACGTTTAATTATTCTCTAGACGAGAATTAAAAAATAAAATGACTGCAACTGATATTAGCTCTTCAAACGAGCCTAATGGCCAGGCCCAACCGATCAATGGTGCTAATAAAACATTTGCTCAGCTACAAATTATTGATGAAAACCAACACTTCACGTATGTACTCGATCATGTTCAATTATTTATATTTATAATTTCTTTTTACAAAACCTTAAACCTTTATTTCAATAGAAAGGATTTACCAAAATATATGAATGAATGGCAACTTGCTGACAGTGGTTTCAATTATAATATGGTGGCTGTCTTTGGGTCGCAAAGTACTGGAAAGAGTGAGTATTTAAAATTTTGAACTTTACTAATATTATTCACCAAAAAAAATTTTGTTTTATTAATGTTATTTTCGTAAAGGTACATTGTTGAATAGACTCTTCGGAACAAATTTTGATGTCATGAGTGAATCTGCACGCCGTCAAACCACCAAAGGTACAGAATTCAATACACAGCCTTAATAATTTATTAAAAAATTTAACATATTTTATTGAAATTTCGGTTTAATTGTTAGGAATTTGGATGAGTCGCGGCAGAGACATGAACGTATTAATCATGGATGTTGAAGGTACCGATGGCCGTGAGCGTGGTGAAGACCAGGTTCGTAATTATTCGACTCTTAATTGTTACATAGCTCGTTTGAATGCTACTTATTAGGTACTAAATAGGATTTTGAAAGAAAAAGTGCATTATTTTCTATGGCTACGTCCAATGTTATTATTGTTAATCTTTGGGAGCATCAAGTTGGCCTTTATCAAGGTGCTAATATGGGCCTTCTGAAAACAGTGTTTGAAGTGAATTTACAATTGTTCCAAGCTGCACGAGGGTTTGTGTTTTTTTTTTTTTTTTTATTTTTATTTTATTTTTAAATCTTTATTTTAATAACCAGTGTTTAATTTTAAAATTACTAATTAAATATTTTTTTTTTCTCTTATATTCATTATTTTAATCATTTTCATAGTAAAGAAAAGACTTTACTGCTTTTCGTAATTAGAGATCATGTCGGTGCAACACCGCTGGCCAACCTTTCGAATACTTTGACGGCTGATTTAGAAAGAATTTGGCAAAGTGTTTCTAAGGTAATTACAATGTTTCTTAATTTGTTAATGTACATTATGCCAATGTTTAATTATGATATTCATTAGCCTGAAGGTTTAGAAAATTGTATAATCAATGATTACTTTGATTTTATGTTCACCGCATTACCTCATAAACTCCTATTACCGAAAGAATTTGAACAAGATGTTATCAAATTACGAGAACGGTATGGTTTTGCTAGTTAATGACTTATGTAATTAATATTATTCATTCAATTTAATATATATATATACTCTTTTTTTAATAATTTACAGGTTTGTTAATCCAAACAACAAAGATTTTGTATTCAAGCCAAATTATAACAAACGTGTTCCTGCTGATGGTCTTCACGTATATGCAGAAGGCATTTGGGTATGTTGATACTATTGCATGTTATTCATAAAACATCATCACATTAACAATTAGATTTTTCTAATCATCAATTTATTGAATAATTAGGATCAAATAATGTCAAATAAGGACCTTGACTTACCAACACAACAAGAGCTTTTAGCACAATACCGTTGCGATGAAATAGCAACTGTAATTATTGTATAATTATTTAATCAGTTTTATTTATTTCTTCTATATTAATTTAATTTGTTTGTCAAAAAGGTTGCTTTTGATATTTTCTTAGGGAAAATCAAGGGATTCAGGCAACCCATTGAAGCTGGCAGAATTATTGATGATTTAGGTCCACAAATGGAAGAAATTAGAAATACTACTATTAGTAAGTTATATTTGTGTTTTTATGAGGATTTTGTTCGAAAATAATTTATTCAATGTTATTTACTTTGAAATTAGAACAATTCGATAAGGATGCATCCCGATATCACTCTGATGTGTATAATCGTAAACGTCAAGAAATCCTTCAGAAAGCAAATTCTCAATTACACGTATTTTTCCTTGGTCAACTTAAGAATCTCACAAAGAAAGCCATTAGTTTATTCAACACCCGGGTTCAGGTAGTACTAATATATTACGTTTTTATTATTATCGTCCTCTATTATTAAAACACTTTTTTTTAATAGGAGAAATTGAAGGGAGAATATGATTTCGCAGAAGTTGTGAGCAATGCTCGAGAAGAAGCCGAGAATCTTTTCATATCTGGATCAGAAGGTAATATAAAAAATCACAACTATTGACAATTGTTCATATTGACTTCAAATAACATTTAAATTTCGATGATGATTTAGCTATTCTATTGCCCGAAACTGATTGGACATCTGAGGAAGAACTTTCTCAATTGAAAGAGTCCATTAATGATATTGCGGCAAAATCACGTGTGGAAGAAACAAAAAAAATGGTCAAAGCACTGGAGGTACAAAATTTAGATGATTTATAATAAGTTCTTAAAATTTATTATTTATATCATGAATTTTGCTTATTTTTTTTTTTTTTTTCTTTTTTTACAGAAAACATTTCAATCGCAAGTCAATGAATTTGTTGCTCTATACTTTAAAACGCCAACTCACGATATGTGGAACAAGATTATTAAAAAGTTTCAACAAGTTCTCGATAATATTGAACAACAATTATTGAAACGTGCAAAAAGTACGTCTTAGAACAATATTATTTGATGCATATAGACAATATTTGATATGTTAATTTTAACGTACTTGTCACAATAAGGTTTTAACGCTACTGAAGATGAGAATATCAAAGCTATTTCCAATCTCCGTAAACGTTCTTGGTTACAATTACGAAAAAAAATTGATGATGAACTTGCAGACAACATGTTTTTACTTAAATTACGCGAGAGGTAAACAAAATTTTATAAACCATTTAAAAGGAAAAAAAAAAAAAAATTACGAAATATAAAAGCTTACAAATTTTCTTAACAGATTTGAAGAAAAATTCCGATATGATGATGATGGTTTACCAAAAGTATGGAAACCAGAAGATGATATAGATGCTCATTTTCGGAAGGCTAGAGAAGATGTATTATATATATTACTTTTAATGTTTTGATACGTAATCATCCCCTAATTACTAAATAACTACTGCGTGCAGGCAATCAGTCTCATACCTTTATTTGCCTCGATTCAAATCCCTGATGATGTAGAATTAGATATTCCGTCAGATGATGTGAGGAAAAATTTATATACATAAAATTTTTTTTTCTATATATATAGTAGTTTTACATAAACTTTATTTTCTCTAATATTTAGGAATTAGACTTCTAGGAGTCGCTAACAATTCTTACTGAAACCAGACAACATGATATATCAGTACGCTTTAAACGAGAATCCGATGCTTTCTATCTGGAAGCGAAACGTTCTGTTGTAGCAACAACAGCTCGTATACCTTATTGGGTATTTGTTATGTTTGGTGAGTTAAAATTAATATATAGTATTTACTTTTCTGTATTTAGAGAAATACTCATAAAGTCAATTAATATATAAATAGTTATACTTGGTTGGAATGAATTCATATCTATTATTACATCTCCAACGTATCTGATTATCGTTTCCTTCTTTGGAGTTATTGGATACATAATCTGGCTGTTAAATCTTTTTGGACCAGTTGAAACGTTCTTCTATATGATCGTATCAGAAATGATTAAAGTTGGAAAAGATCAACTCAAGACTGGGATTCATAATAGAGCACCACCGGCATTAGCACAAAAAATTGATTCAGTATTAGGTGTTAACGACAATATAAAAAAAGAGCAGTAATAAATTATAGGAATTGAACTTTTAATTATCCTCAACCTCTGATATACAACTATTTATCATCCTATGCATGTAGAAAATTTTTTAGTACGTGTTATTTCTTGTATTTTCATTATATGCGTTTTATTCAGAACGCATATTTTACGACTTGTACAAATATTTCTTTAAATTTTTTTCGATACCGTATTTCCTTATTTATTCATAGGATGGGAGGAAATTACAAGGATGTGTATAGTTTTGGTTTTTCTGTTAGTAGAAATTTGAATTCTTAAAACTCTGGATCTTATTTATAGTTTCTTTTTTTTTTTTCTTTTGAGTTTTGATTAAAAACTTTCCAGTATTGTCACTGGATTAACATAAACCCATATGCATTATTCGTGAGAGTAATTATGCACGTTCTTAACTATAATATTTTTAACATCTTGCTCTATATAAAATCTATTTCATTCCTGATTATTAAAATCTAAAAATTTTCGCTTATGGGTAAAACAATGTATAAATTTACATATTATCGCTATCGTTATCGTTATGAATAAATTGTACAGCTGCAGCATGACTTTCGACCAAAAATTATGCCAAGTGGAATGTAAAAAATTTCAAATAAACGCTTATTTTGAAAACAGTGATACTCTAACTACGTAATATAAACTAAATTTGAGTTTTCCTACAGAAAATCGATCCTAACGCTAAACCCTATCTGAAATAGCATCGTTTTAATTAATGAATATTTATAATTTGCTATACAATGTGATAAACATAGAATATCGATATTCTATTCTAACTTGATTTACATTAGATATAGTAATATTAAAGCAGGCTTCCAACTTTCGAATTTTTATTCGAGATTATTCATTTAATTTATGCTGCACGAAAAATTTATGCATTCGAAGTTTCCATAAAATTGTACCCATGTAATGCAGTAATGCAGTAATGCTGATCTAATCAAATTTCACAATTGAAAAAAATCGTTTGTCACGATTTTAGAGAATATAATTTTTTTGTGAGTGAGCTAGGTCAAAGAGTATAGTTCTTGACAAGATTAAGGATTGGATTCAATAATTGGCCAGAATTGTATTAACATAGACTGAATTTAAACGGTTAAATACGATTAAACAATTAATGGTTAACTGTTAAGCTATAATTATTATTACAGATTCTAAACGAACATTGTCTTTGAGACCACATTTCAGTCAATTGGTCAACCCTAACATCTTTAGTTATTTGTATTTTTAGGAGACCTTCAAAATGATTGTAAGGATAGATTGTAAAAACTACCATAAAATAAATTTGAATTGGCTAAAATATAAACACGTGAAAATGAATTTAGTATATGCTATATCGACATACAAGTCAATCTCTTTATAGTGAACCCTCGTTATAGTGAACTTTCAATATAGTGAAGAATTTTTAAAAACAATATTATTAAAATTCAGTTCGATATAGTGAAGTACATATAGTAATCGCTCGTTATAAGCTATAGTGAAGATTTTTTTTTCCAGCCCAAAAGCTTCACTATAAAGAGAGTGACTTGTACTAAGAAATGATCCGCATCTTCACTATAGTTCTGGGCCGAATTATGTTAATCATCGGCCAAAACAAAATGGAATTAGAGCAGGTGAATTAACCGGTTAAAGCCTGATTTTGGGTAAGAAGATTTTTTTCAAAAAATTTAACGTTAATGCGCATCCTATTTGATTGGTCAGTCAATCAAAAATAAAATACGCGTCTTTCAATAATTTGAAATTTTTATGTAACATAAACGTTACTCCTATGCGCAGAAAATGTTTTTGAAAATGACATTTTCTTCTTCCACGCATCAGAAACCGGATCGTCAACGGCGAGGTTTCATTAAATCTGAATCAAAACGCCTGTGGAGAGAAAAATTTAAGCAACAGTGTCTACGGCGAGTTAAAGAGAGTCGTAATTTTGCTTTCAACGAACGAAGATTAGGATTTTGGAATATTGCAACAAATCAGAATGATATAAACGAAGATGAAGTAACCCCAGAGCTCCGCATATTGTAGTTTAGGTACAAGTTGCAATCATTATTAAAGTAACGGTATTTTTAATTTATCAAGGTTGCACGGCAATTGTTTGTAAAAAAAATTCTTGAAGAATGGAAGATTTTTTTGAACGACGATCTTAATGTCGTTGAAGATATGTTAGATGATGAATTATTACATGAAATTATACAAGGTACTTACATTTACAACAATTAGATGAAGTTTTTGTAAATTTTCATATTTTAATCTTTTAACATTTTAGAATCAACGTTAGATGAATACGAAGCCGAACTCGCAATTCAATGCGAAGAATACATACCATCGCATGCAGATGATGGTCAAAATTCCGACTTAATGGACTTGGACGAAGTCGGCGAATAATAGTTTATGTTTTTTGTTTTTTTTTTTCTTTTTTTTAAAAATATTGTTTGGTTTGATGATTGTGATTTAATCATTAAATATTGATTTTGCTATGTTAGTGATGGGTGTAAATATGCGTTAGTTTGATTATACGCATGAGGTCTTGTTGAAATTAAAGTTATTAAGCAAAAAAAGAACTGGTTTAAAAACTTTAATAATTCCAATTATTATTATTATTTTTTTTTTTTAAAAAAAAAAAATGCACATTTAAACTAATTTGATTCAATTACAGTATTTGATTTATTATTTTTATTATTACAATTTTTGCATGCGTATCGTCCAAAGCCAAAATTTATTTTAAAACTGATAGACTATATACATTAAGTTAAAATTAAATGCCGTAATTAAAAAGTATATTCATAATTAATTACATCACTTGATTTACATTTATTAAACATACTATATATAAACAAATTAAGATTTTAAAATAACATTGAGCATGTCAATGTCAATTACGTTGAGAATGTCGAGATTGATTCTAGAAAGAACTCTTCTGGAAGTCTGGTTACATAAAGGTTCGGTACTAGTATACTATAATATCAGATATGGAGTGTCGTCAACTAAAAGGGCCCATTTTTACATTTTTAAAAAAAATGTTTTTATTATATTTTGACATGATTGACATTTTTCAATTATAAATGAAAGTCGATTTGCATAATGAAAAATAGAGATAATGTAGAAGAAAATTATACGAGGCCAAGCACATTACGAGATTACCCGATAGTCGCCTGTTACTTTTAACCAATCAAAATCATGAAATTTGGTTAATCCGGATAAGTCCGAAAATCAATATAGAGCTTGTACCCGTTATAAATTTCTACTCCGGGTTACTCACCCGTTTACAAGATCATTGCCGGGTTACAAACCGGGTTATTTAAAATAACCCGGTTTACCCGGTTAACCCAATATTTCAATTTTACCAAAGCTCGTGTTTACTTAAGTACCCAAAAAATAATACCCTCACGATTAAGACCCAGTGGTATAACGATATTTGATTATCGCTTTTCATATGATATATTGTACCCGGTTTTTCTCACAGTACCCTTGGGTACTATTCAATTAAAAAATGAAGTTCTTGAATAAAACCCCGGGTACTGTATGCAGTAACCAACAATAATTATATAACATTAAATAATTGCGCAATACTGTAGATTACAAAGCATTAGTGATGGGCAAATCGCAGTTTTTCCAAATATCCCGCGCGGGATGCGGCTTACGCGTGTGATCCGCGCGTGATACGCGGGATAAAGACTACCTTGCGGGTTTCTTAACATTTTGTTAATGCGGGCCGGCTGGCCTGAATTAGGGAACATATTAAAAATCACGCGCGGGATCCAAAAAATCACGCGCATTTTGCGCGCGTGATCCCGCGCGTGCCCATCACTACAAAGCATAAAGACCATTATTGTACGTACAAGTATATGAGTGTCGCCAAGGGAAAATCTCGAACCAGAAATTTAAGTTTATTCTCGGTTCGAGGTTTTCTCTTAGCGGCACTCATATGTGGATTTTAAATATATATTAATAGGCGGCAGGTATAAGATTATTCACCATGACTTCCTGATTGTAGACGTTTTCGCACAGCAAGATTCTTTTGAGAGAAAATAAGCTTACCCAGACAATTGGCCAGTCATACGTACATGCTACGTATAGAGGTAGTTACATTTATGCAAAGATCACGTTTATAAAATAAGGAGTAATTGACCTATAATATGCGCTGTAATATATGCATCGTTAACCCCATCGTGAGTAACCAAGTCACCCGGTTAGCAATAGGTTAACCCGGGTCCAATCTCTACACGTGACATATTCACGAATAAAATTTTGGTTTTTAATGTGTAAATTAAAATTTTTTTCCAAACGTTAAAAAGATTCATTGAGTTTTATCGTGTGGTTATCAAAATATAAAGCTTTGAAAACTCAAAAATGTCTTAAAATAGAAAATACGCCAAACTTTGTCAAAAACTTTCAAATAACTTTTATAGAAGTTTAAATTTGTGAAGATATCTCAATAACCACTTGATATTTGGAGTGTCTCCTATTAAAAGGGACCATTTTTACATTTGTCTCATTTTGAGATAATTGAGTTTAATTATTTGTTTTGATTTTCGGACTAATCCGGATTAATTTAATTTCACGATTTTGATTGGTTAAAGGTAACAGGTGAGATGGTTATCTTTATTCAAAGTTTGACGCATTACTTTGAGCACATGTCATTTACAAGACCTGGGTTACTTGGTTCTTTTCCTAATTAGTTCCTAATATAGTCAGACCTCTCTATAGTCACCTCCTCTATAGTCGCATTTTCTTATAATCACATAAATTTTAAAACCAACTTATAC